AATTATATGGACACTGTCAGCTGATTTATTCCAGAGTGTTAAAGACATTCCTAACCTTGCACCTCTCCTTGAACTTTCTTGTGTAATTTCCATTGTTAAAGCACTAAGCATTTACCTGCTTAAACCCCAAAATGTTCTCTTTTTTCCTACCATGAAAGAGCTCTTCAAACAGCAGAGAAATTACTTCAGCAAAACCATAAAATTGATTGCAGAGTCATTATATCAAATGCTCACCAAAACACAGAGAAATATAATTTTTTCCCATATGTTTTGTAATATCATCATGGATGTTACATTGGTACTACAACAACAAGAAAGGCAGTTCCAGGGAGCATTGAAATTTCTATCTGGCAGTGGTCCTTCTGGTGTTTATTATCTTTTAAGATGCTTTCCTGGCATCTACCAGCTGCCTTCAGGAAAATTTATATGCTATTTTAGTTTGTTAATTTCTCTTCCCTGCTAATGTGCTTTTGTTATTGCCGTGTGGAGTTCATTAACTGTGCCAGGAGATGGCAGCAATGGAAACCACTTCGTGCCCTCCATTCAGAAATGATCTCTCGTGCTGAGCAACAACATTATCAACATACATTTAAAATTTGTTTTGAAAAACCAAGCAAAGCAGTCTTCACAGTTGTAGACATTGAAAGATATGAAAAAAAAAGAGCTATGGAACATGAAAGGAACTACGGGATCCCTTCCCAGGATCCGAAGGTCATTTTTTCACCACGTAAGTTGCAAAGGCCACAGATAGATGTCAATAGATAAAACTGTAGGAAGGCATGACTTTCCCAGGCTACTATCAGCAAAAATGTCTGAAGTAGCTTTAATTCATCTGATCTTCATGGCACAGAAGAGAAAGCATTTGAGTCTAGAGCAGATGAAGGCTGGGGAGAGTTTGCAAAAATATCATAAAGATCAGAGATGGAGTTTGGGGCTGCTGGACTTTGACTCACGTTTCTGGTTTGGTGAGAAGAGGCATAGGGAGCAAGCTGCTTATTTAATTGTTTTTATAAAACAGGTGAAGGGATATGCAGAGCCAGACAGAACATCTACTTAGGAGAAACGAGTGTTTACACAGGCAAATTACCATACATATTTCCCACAGGACACAAGCATTATTAGACCTGTTACAACCACTGAGGAAAAAAAAAAAATCTTATTTACCCTTCTAAATACAGACCAGTCTTCAGGGCAATATAGCTGCTAAATTTACTGGTATGGATGCCTGTGTTACAGCCAGGATTTATCATGCATGATAAATGCAAAACTGTCTCAGCCTCAGTTACAAGCTTTTGTTCCAAGCATATTATTTATTTATTGCCCAAAATTAAGAACATATGGGGAAAATTAGCTTTCCCACCAGGGGGTAATGTTGGTGTGCCACTGAGCAGAAGGATTGGTGGAGCTGGGAGCTGTGGCAAAGTCCCAGTTTTGCCCTGGTCCATGCCTTTCAGCACAGCTAGGACAACTTTGGGCATGTGTCCCCACAAAGGGTTAGGAGGCAAAGGTTGCTAGTTATGTGCTCTCCTGAAAAGGAATTGGAGTGGTAAGAAAAGACACAGCTTCTTGTCATGTTTCCTGTCAAATCTGGGGCTGTAAGTTGTCTTGCTGCCTTTGTGAATGAACAGGAACCCATGTCCTGAATAAACATGTGCTTTCATCATCAAAGTATCCTCACAGAAAAGTCTGTAACACTTCAAGATTTGGCTAATTGCTTGTTTTAATGAGACAGATAACACAATAAATCATGTTTATGGAAATCAATCTGTCCTGCATCACACTCTTTCCATTAGTGAGAAATTAGTTGTCACTACTGGAAACAAATTATATTCTAAGGTTTTGTGGGGCTTGCTTGAGTTAAAAAAGGAAAATATTGCCAAGAGGAATAAATCGTTTTTGTAACTACAAACCACTTCAGTCATGGTAGAGACTTCCAAACAATTTTACCTTCTATAAATTAAAGATCCACAACTCTCAGGGCAAAGGGAGACTTATTGCAAGAAAATCTCACTTATATTGCTCAGAGATGTCCCCTGTGCAACCAAGGTCAATGATTATTCTAATGTAAAGCAAAACTGTCTAAAAGAAATGCAGATCAAAAGAAGCCTCCTTTAGTTATATAAAAACCTGTAATTATGAGGTTAGTTGCTTTTCAGAACAGAAGATCACAACCTCTGGGTTTATTCATAGTTGAATACAATTTGTGACTAAGAGCACATGAGGAACATGGACTTCTGCACGTCTAATTGTTCCTGTGGTTAGTTTGTATGAGAAGCACCCTTTCTTAAATACCTCAACTACAATCATGTCCTATTACTACCTGTGTTAAAAATTTTACTACAAGCTACAGTGAGTATTCATCATACATGGGTCTATAATACTTTAATATGTGTTTCTCTTCCTTATTTCTAGCTCTTCAATTGCATAAAAAGGCAACACGATTTATATTTTCAACATGTTATCCTACTGGTCTTAGATACTTTTAAATAAAAAATGGAAGGGAAGGTACACGTAGCATTACTGGTATGTTGTTTATCTATAGGGTATGCCTCATTCCTCCAGTCCTAGTTATATAAAATAAATAGAGTAGAGAGACTTAAAGGCATTTTAATAATTCTAGGTACAATTATAAAAATTATGTGATACAGGAAGAGGAAAACAGTGCCTAACTGCCCTCTGAGCAGATGTTCTCAATGCTAACCCAAAAGGCCAGGGGAGGTGTGGTACCACAGAGAAGCATGAAGGTCCTGGACAGCAGCATCCATGAGGGGCCTGCTCTGGCTTTTTTGCCTTTTTTTTTTTTCTGCATCAGCTTTGTCCTGCAGGAGGAGGAAAGCACACTTGGAGGCTTGTGAGCTCCACCCCTCTCCCTGCTTCACCGTGGGTGCTGGCTGTCTTTAATAGTAGCAACACACAGCATTTCTGTGAGCTGCCTTTAAAAATGAGATGCTCTTTGAAACGCCTGTATTTAGAAGCAGAATTACTATACAGGTTGTAATAGTGATTGGCTTTCACCAGCACCATCAGGCAAAAGGGAGCTTCCTCGAAATTCAGTAGTAAAATCTAACAACAACAACAACAAAAAAAAAAACCTACCACCAACCAAAAAAAAAAAACACACCAAAAACCCAACAAAAATGATACAAATGGAAAACAACCTGATAGTATGACCTTGTCCTGCCTTGTCACTTGATCAAGTTTCATAACCACAGCAGTAATATCTTACAAAATACTGCATTGTACTGTATTCGATCTTGCAATATCTTATCTTTTCCATTACAGCCTTGTTCATACTGCTTTCAGTCCTGACCCCACTATCTCTGTCCTAGAAATAGCAGGGAAACTAGTGGAGTGGAGCTGCTAGATGTAAGGACACCCCTTACCAGGCCTGATCCTGACCCCACCACACATGCAGGCTGGTGTCCCAACCTGTTCTTAGGCAGTCCCCATCCCCATGGGGGTGCCTGCTGGCTGGGAGTAGAGCTGCCAAAAAGGCAGTCAAGGTCTGAACAGGGCTTTAGTGCTGATCTTTTGGAGATGAGGATTTGGGTTTTAATGGCATTACTGGCAGGTGTGGTGAGGTGTTGGCATCAGTCTGACTGGTTTAGGGTGCTGACCTCAAGGCAGAGGAATGCTGCTAGCACTACACACTGTGATTACCACCTCAACCAGGCAGCTCACGAGGCACTCATCTCTGGATATTTCCACTGTGTCTCTGCTACACTATTCATGACACTGTCATCCCAGGGCATTTTGAGCCCCCTCAGGGAAGGGGGTGCAATCTCTGCATGCTGCTGCCTGCAGGGACAGCCATTAGAGATGATGGTGGCCACAGGGGAATCCCCGAGTCTGCAGGCACACTGCCTGTTTGAGAGATGCCACATCCATGTTTCTCAGTCCAGCAGGCACTAAGTTCAGTGTTTTTCTCTCCAATATGAGGAAGCAAGCTGCTGGAGGCAGATCTCACCCATGTGGAGTACACATGTGCAAATACTCAATATGAAACTGATGCAGGGGATCACTTTTTTTTTTTTTTAACAGAGTTTCCTCTTGCTGTTTCAGTCCTAAGGTTCATTTGCTACAAATAATCAAGACAGCATGTTTTTTACCCACAGACCTCAAAGCAAATTCGGTATTTCTGACAGCAAACATGTATTTTCCAAAAATTTCTCTTGGAGATGGATATTTAGACAACATTTTTCAAGATAAAATTTCACTTTTCTTAAGCAACCTAAAAAATTGCTCACATGCCATAGAAAAACCTTGAAAGAATGGGGACAACAGGTGCCCAACAAGACTAAGAGTTCGTATTTCTGCATTCTCAGGTCTGAAATATGCTTGAGAGTAGATGAGACTTGTGTCGCACACAGGCACATCAGTGCAGTGGGCATGGCAAGCATGGACCCAGACCAAGGTGACAAACCTGGGACACGTGGCATAGGCAACCGACGTGGCAAAAGTGTTGTGGCTTGTCACGTGTCACCAAGTAGCTGGTTGTGAAAGACACTGTTTAAACAAACTGTTGTGTACATTTCCATGTCAGTACCTGCCTGTCCAGATTCTTAATTTTAAAATACAGCTCTTAAGCGTATTTGAATGAGTCACTAATTTTGGCCAGCATTGACAGTAACTGGAAAATCTAAATATTCTTGCACTGTACATCACCTGCACTCCAAAGATTGCACAGCAGTTTTTTATATGGGTTGCATCCTATTTCTGCTCTGTCCACACCCTCTTTTCTCTATTTGCATCTGAGAGCATTTTTTTTTTTTTTTTTGTAGGAAAGAGCTCTCGATCTCCTGCTAGATACATACTTTCCTCCCCTTGGTGCAAAAGCCCTTCTGTATAGTTTCTTTTTGAGCAAATGGTGACTACAGAGCATTGGCAATTTGGTTCTTTTAATTTTATACATCAGTGCTTGAAATGGCAATGTAGCTTTTGAGTCCTCACCTTTGGGAAGTGAAGCCAGGGCCCACAAAAATCCTTGCCCACAAAAATGATTGCTTATTTATGTTTGCCTTTAATAGCATAACTGTACAACATGACATTCAATAACTAACAGAGTATTGAAAGAATACTACAAACATCCTTGGGCAGGAATTGTCTGGTTCTGATACCAGAGTCAACCAGAAAGCAGTATTTGGAGCCTCTAGTTAGCACATCCTGCACTTCCAACAGCAGTAGGAACAGCGCACCTCTGAGAAAATAAGTTGATTAAATCCTTGAGAATATCTCAAGTTTAGGTCTCAAGTGTTCAAATAAGTCTGTGAAAGAGAAGAGGAGCAGGATCAAAGAGAGGAGACTCATGGTGGCTATTCTGAGGGAAGAGGATACAAGAGACACTGAACCACTTGAGGAAGGAAAAGTGTACCCAGATGTAGATGGGATACAAGGCCTGGAGTGAGGGAGAGTTTGGAGACGGTGAATAGAGAGATGAGAAGGGAGTCACACAGTCATCCTGGGGGTAAGAGAAAGGCAGGAATGCATAAGTATCCGTGATGGGCCAGGATTTTGATCTTGAGATACCCATAAGGCATACAGCCTGGTACTTCCACACTTTGATTCTGATAGGACAAAAGCCATGTAGCTATCATCTCTCTTGATACCACATTTCCTTGGAAATGACCTTTGCCAATACTTTCCCAGTCTTGCTTAACCAGGTCTCTGTAAGCCAGCAACTGAAACAATCTTTTCCCTCCAATGAGCCACCCTTCATATTTTCAATTTTTAGTGTAAGAGAAGCATGAAGTCTGCATATCATTCAGACTGTGGAACATGAGCTTTAGAAGCTCCCCACAGCTTCAGTGTGACTTGCAGTGAGAAATCACCTTTCATATAAGCAGTAATTAAATAATAATCCTTCAAATAAGCAACAGTTGCCAATGATGGAATGGAAAAAGAACTGCAATTACATGGCAGATGGTAACAGACTTATTGTTTCATATCCCTCCATTTCAAGAACAAAAATATGATTAAGAAACAACACTTTTCAATACTCATTATTTGGGCAGCCTGGAAAATGTTTGAGCAACAAGTGGGTGACTATGCAACACAAAAATGTGGACTTCTGACAGGAATTTCTTGCTCTTCAGAGGAAGTAACCTAATGCTGCCACTAATTACCAGGACACCAGAAACAAGGGGCTGCTAATGGAACTTAAAATTGCCATGTAAATTGGAAGGTGGTGCCTTTATAAAGAATGTTTTAAATATTGCCTAGGAAGAATTGACTATGGAGTCCGGGATGACAGAAAAAAGTAAGACTTAATAAGCCATATTCAAAGATCAGGGATTTCAGGATTTAAAAAAATTTCAAGTATCAGCTAGGGTGGTAATGAACGGTACATCATGGGGAGGGAGGAAGGAAATACAATACAAATTTCAGGCCTGTTCAAAAAAAACCATAATGGCAAACTATTTCAGACAGGGTACTTCGAATTGACAGAGATATGGGAAAGCTATCAATGACACTTAGGAGAATTCATTTGGAATACTGGTCATTATGTTCAAGAAAGAAGAATTGCCAGTGCAGATAAAGACTTCAGGACTGGTCAGGAGACAACAAACAACAGCACTAAAACCTAGATTGATTCTGCTGAACTTCAGGTACTTCAAAAAGACACATAAACCAGGAGCATGTTCACCAGGGTCTCCTGTAGTCAGTGGAAGGAGATGGGCACCTCCAGTCATTCAGCCTACCCAAGTTCTGACTTGGCTTCTAAATTAGATGACTCATTTAAATACTCTAACTACAAAGGGAGCATATTGCTCCAGGGAATGTGCATGGCACCCTAAAAAACAGGGGGTCAGAAAGAAACCAGCTGCTCACAGAAGCGCAAACATCACAGAAGAGGTCAAGGTGAGGTTTAGCAGTAAGACAAACTGATATGCACAAACAAATGTTTCTGATTAATAAAAGGCTGATCTTTGGAAGCAGGCTTCAATATAGAGATGGGGAGATAAGATACTTGCCTAGAATTAAAATGCAGCTGACTGTGTTCATTTAAGAGCTTATATGATGGACATATCTGAAAGAGCAAACATTTGGACTGGCAGATACAAAAAGTTCCTGTCTCATCCATTTTGCTATGCTGTTTTATTTGGATTTTTTTTGTTACTGAATACAAATAGGACTAATCCTTTATGCTAGCATAAAGGAGACTTCTTGCAAAATTACATGTGTTTTGAAAAGGAATTACTGGAAGATGTTGCTGCCTTGTCTTTCTCTATCTGCACCAAGGGGAAGGACAGAAAAATCTGTTTTCTGGGACCAAAATTGCTCAAGACCAAAACAAAAACCAACTACAGCTGAGCAACTGACCTACACTCAGCAAACTGAGCAAAAGGCTTGCTGCCCAAGGCAAGCAAAGCCAGCTCTCCTAAGTGATGGGCAAAGGTACTGTTTGGAAGGAACAGAAATGCTATCATCATGCTCCCAGTTGTCACTGGCAGAGGCAGCATGTGCAGTAGGGTGTACAACTGATGGCAAGTTAGTGTCTTTCCAGTTTATAGTTGTTGCAGCAATGGAAACTTACTGTCCATGAACTAACTCCACATACAAGCCTGAAGTGCTTGAACCATGCAGTTAAAAGTGTCCCAGCAAATACAAACACAGAATATCGATCACAGATGTGTATTGTCAACAGGGAGGGAAAGCACAGCCAAGGGCCTGGCAAACAGATAGAAGAGGACATGGGAATATAAGCACAGAAGGATTTTGACAGGATCATTGGCAGAAATGAGACTGGAGCATTGTCTCCTACTATTTAATCCTTCCCAGTTTTCAATAGAATGACCCTCTCTGCACATTGACAAAAAATAATACATCAGAAATAGAGAAATAACAGATTCTTCTACACTGGTATTAGCTAAGCAGTTGGGTCAACAGCATTCTAATGCAATAGTAATGTGTGCTAAAATAAACAAGATGTATACTCCTGATTATCACACTGCAGAATGGCTGTGTCACAGTCCCCTAATTCTACACAGCCCTAGTATATTGAAAATAATTTGGAAGAATAAAATTTTAAATTTTATATTTAAACCTAAGCCTGTGTCTCAAATTACATATATACTTCATTTCAGACTAGCAGAAGGTAGCTGGGTTTCCTGGGTAGCTCTTAGCATGAGCTTAGTGGCTGACATTAGGAAACAAAATTTTGCAAAAGACAGAGAACCGGGTGAAGCAAGACATAAATGACAACACACAAGGCCTTAAGAGTCATGAAATACATGATCTTACAACAATTTTACAATAGCAGTTACAGTAATTATTCAAAGTCATTTGTTTGCTACAGCTTGCCCCACATGAAACAATAAGCTAGAGACAAACATACAGTCATGTATGTTTTTTGTTTGAAAAAATGTGCTAATCCTTACTCCAACAAAATCTTATTAGCTATTGCAAAATGTTTGCAAGGGCTTTATGTTTGTCAGAGTCTTACCTTCTTTTTCCAGGGGGTCACACTTGCTCTGTAATGCTGTTACTGTTAAGGATGTTTGTGGTCAGTTGCTATTGGTAGTAACAGTCAAAGTTCAGGCAACCAAATTTAGAGATGAAATTAATAATGGCATATGTACCAGAGAGCCTAAGTATGCATTGTTTCTTCATGACTTAGCAGGAAACAGTCTTAATGAGGTCCAAGAAAGCTTAGCATGAATAAATCATATATATAGAGTGCAGAATCTGCCTCAGAAAATAGAGGTAAGCAGCAGTAGAACCTAGATAAAAAGAAACAAAATATCAGGATTATGAAGGCTGCTGAAACCCCCTGCCAGGAAAGAAAGTGTAGTGTGCCACTGAGAATGTGCTCAGCTGTATAAATACAGTGTTTCATAAAGTCTATATGTACTCTACTGCAGAAGTTCTTAATTTAAAAAGAACTGTAAATTTGAATGCAATATTTACCCCCAGCACCATACATATACTATGAACAATCCCAAGGTTGTGGAGAGGATTTATCCGTGACCACTAAGCACTTACCTGATTTGCAGAGTCATGCCTCTGTCTCAGCAGGCAGACTTCCTAAATCCATCTGCTCACCATAAATAATTTAACTTCATTCTTGACTACTTTCTTTTCCCTTCAAAACATCCTCTCTGTGTCCATATGCACAAGGCTGCCAAATTTAGGGAAAAAAGTATGAGCCAGTTCTGTGCCATCTTACCATCACAGCATATGCCATAGTTGAGATAGGCACAATATACAGAGTACCACCATACAATTTCAGAAGGCTTCAAGCATCAGCCCATACAGAACACCACCACCACCTCAGCAGACTTCAAACAGCTATCCTTTTTGTTCTTTAGCTCAACATTTACAGCCCTCATTGTTCATGCATTGCACCTGTGTGCTCTCTGTTCCCTTTGGTGGTTGGTCAGTGCACCTGGGCACTCCATGGCTCATTACCTTCAATGCTGCTCACCTGCTTTTCACAGCTGTACCCATTGGGGATGAGGCTCTGCCACAGCCCCACTCCCAGTTGCCACAAACTGTGTGCCTACACCTGACAGATTTGGACTTCAGCCACCTATAGACATCATGAGCTTCCCTCAGTGTCTGAAGTTAATCCATCAGCTAAGACCAAGACTACCTCAGGAACTAATAATAGTAACTCTATTAATAGTATTGAGCCTGCTGTCACATTTATTTTATTCTGGACCTGGGGGTTCTTGGATGTGCTTGGAACACAGCTAGTCAGGCTTCCAAAATATAAGCAAGAAGACAAAAGGTAAGTAATGTAAGACATCTGAAAGGACCTCCAACACAGGTGGTGTGTATTTTTTTGCTACAGTGTAATACTCCTGAAATATTATATCAGGAACTGCTTAGCCCTCCAATATGTGTTCCAGCATTCAAAGGGAAAAAAGCTGCACCTCTTGGTTACTGCTGCCCACTAAAAATTCATGTCACTTGGAATCCCTACCTCAGAAATAAGAGGAGTTCGGTGAGAACTGATCACATATGTCTTGCATGTCCACCTGGAAGTACATTTATTCATCTGAGCACCTTCCCAGTGAAGACCTGACATGACCTTTCCCTTCTAAGTCTTATTTTTTTCTCCCAAGACACAAGACTGGGTGCCCTACCAATGCAAAGGGAGTGAATGAGTTCCTTCTGCCTGCAGAGTCAAGTCAGCCCCCAAGCAAGCATTCCACTGTAGCAACTGTAGCCAGAATTGAGGGGGTTGTGGCTGTAATTTATCATAGGCAATGTATTTTCAGCAGTGTGACTGCATGTCAGTGCTGAAAGCATTTGTAGCATTAAATGTCCTAGAGAGAGGACCATGGCACCGTTTGGAGGCACACACTCTGAAGGCCTGTCAGTCCTGACCAGTCCTGTCAGTCCTGGCAGGTCGCTAAAAACCCAGGCACTTTGCAATATTTGTTGAATGCCTTAGCATAGCTCATTTTCCAAGCTTGGATGAGCTTGGGATCCTCTTCTGAGTTCAAAGACAGTCATGTCTTAAGGCCCAGCAGAAAGGAAAAAGAAAATCCAAAGAATTTTGTATGCCAAGATAACAGGAGCATTGTGTCAAAAGAGGAGGAAAATACACCCATATGAATCAAGGATCCATATGATTCCCTCAATTCTGAATTATTTACAGCATTTAATAATGTACAGAGAGTATGTCTGGCCATTCCTCCAGTTGGTCATAAATTATGATGGTTTACATGTCTTTAAAATAAACTCTGGCACACAAATACTAAGCCACATAAACTGAGTCAGTCACATATGTATGTCCCTCAGCTGGGGTGAAGTTCTTAATTAGACCCTTTCTTGGGGGCTTAGTCAGCATTAAGGTGCTTGTGCTCAAAGGCAGCTCTGTGCAGCTAAGTGACCTTGGATTAGAGTGCTGTGTGAAAAAGAGCTGTAAGAATTGAGTGCCACCTACTTTGCTCAAGAGCTGTGCCTGCATTGAAGCACTCTCCCTTAGTCCTTGACTCAGCTATGCTACGGGTATGACTGCGCCTGGCCACACACACTGATCCAACCCTGACCTAACTAAGATGATCTTGGATCCTTCCCATCACTGTGGGCTTGTCTAATGATGACAAGACTGGTGGCTGGTTGGTCCTGCTTATTGTCACTGAACCTGATTCTGACCCTGACTCACTGGCTTGGTTTTTCTGGCTTGACCTCAGATCTCCTTGTCACTGTGCTCACTGGGATGGTTACTGGTGATCTGTACTCTTGGCTGAACTTCTAGCCACCACCAGAACTGCTTTGCTATTCTTGTTTGGGTGCTATGGTACTTGCTGGTGAAGCCACTGTCATGCATGACTTACTGTCACCCTCCACTCCCAGCTTGCATTGCTACTCCATAAAACAATTTTCTCACCTACCACTGGTATCACTGGTGCCACAGGGACTGTGACACTCCTGACACCAGTAGTTCTAGCACAAACCAGACAATAGGAACATGGATTGCAGACACCCTGTGACTTTCCTTTTAGCCAAAGATTATTGTTAGAAAATTGTCTTGAGCCAACCTACTGGCGCCATGTATTCCTGCCAATAGGATAAATCAGGAGAGTGGGCAAGAAGTCAGCAATCACAACAAAGAGTCTGTTCTGTCACAGACAGCAAAACTCAGCAGTGATACACAACTCCTCTTGTGTGATTTCAATTAACTGTTGGTCAAATAATCAGGGAATCTCAGTAACCTGGAGACATCATATTTCAAAAGCCCAAGTAAAATGCAAAGTGATCACAAACCCAAAGTAGTCACAAGTTCTTTGTCACCTTTTGTAATTTATTCTAATAGTCTAAATCTGGCAACAACATTTCATATTTTAGCTGTTGATTTTCCCACCTCATCTGCAGCATTCTCTCCTCTTCTCTCTCCAGGGCACTATCTCCACCTCTCCTGACAGGACCGTCTTCAAGTATACAAGGGCTACAACACTTAATTCTTCCACCTCCACCACGAGGTAGCACTGGTGCTGCACCTGAACTCCCACACGGACACGCACAATTCAGCACATTATTCAGACTGTCACACCTGCAAGGATTTCAGCATTAAATTAAATCCTTGCTAGCAGCCTCAGACAGCAGTTGTGAGACAGGGCTGTAAGCTGGAAGGCAGAAATTTCAATTCTGTTGAGGCCAGTCAGTCTGCACCCCAAAACCAATCTGTATATTTATAAGGGTGCACATACAGGCAATTGTTCACGGCTGTTCTCACTCAAGTGGGGTTGGCATCTCACAGCTCAAACACTCCCACCATATAGGTTTCCTTGGCTCCTATTGGGTGTTGTAGTGTGCCCAGTGCTGCTCCCTTATTCTAATAAAGTCTTGTGTACCCAAGAGTAGTTTTTGCCTTCTGCATTTAATTGCCACTCCTTTGCCAATCTACATGGAAGGCTGTACTTTGCTCTAACATTTCATCCCAAGGGAGAAAACTAGCACCCTTGAGACATTTACATGTTGTCCTGTATAGATGCAGTATTGTCTGTCTCTGCTCTTTTTAAACAGGATGCTAAAAGATCTGGCTAAGCCTTTTCAGAGATTTGAACCTCCCAGCGAATTGTTCACCAGGAGTCTCACACTGCACAGCAATTAAAACATTGGGCTCAGGTACAGCCAGCTACCAAATTCTAGAAATAGACACTTCTAGCATTTCCTGACCCAGCATGCACAAACGGGTCACTAACTCCTTTGTTTCTCATGTGGCATATATAGACAATAGTTATGGAAGTTTACCTTTCTGGAAGTCAGTGTAAATACATTTTGTACACAACGTAATTCAAAACGTATAATCACAATTGTGTCTTATGTAACCTTTATGCCTTCCCTTCCTCAAACACTGCAGTTCTGATACAGCCCACCAGTGAACACTTATAAACATTCAGAGCTCAGAAACATAAACCAATTTCTGTTTGGTGGACAGGAAAACTACTGTATTTCTATTAATTATTTATTTGATGATTAGCAAAGAACATTGAAAAAATAGTTTTGGATTAAAAAACATAAAATACAAGCCTCTACATTGGAAGATATAATTGACAAAACTCATTTCTACATTGGAAGAAAATCTGCTATGAAGGAATCAGGCATCTATCCTGCATATCTGTTTTTAAGTGAGAAGGCACACTGTGGTTCCAGGCTCCTCAGTACAAGAAAGACAAGGAGCTACTGGAGAGGGTCCAGTGGAGGCCCACAAAGATCATTTGGGGTCTGGAGCACCTCTTTTATGAGGGGAAACTGGAAGCTGGGCCTATTTAGACTAGAGACCACTGAGAGGGGATCACATTAATGCATGTCAGTATCTCAAAGGTGGGTGCCAAGAGGATGGTGCCAGACTCTTTGCAGTGGTGGTGCCCAGCAACAGGATGATAAGCAGTAGCCATACACCAACACACAAGATCCCCCTCAACAGGAGGAAGAACTTTACAGCGGCAGAACACTGGCACAGGCTGCCCAGGGAGACCGTGGATTCTCTCTTCTGGTGACGTTCAAACCCCACCTGGACACGTTCCTGTGCCACTTGTTGCAGGCGACCCTGCCTGCAGGGGTTTGGACTGGAGGATCACCAGAGCTCCCTTCCAAACCAAACCGTAGTGTGACTGTGTGAATCCTTCGGGCATTCCCCGCCCACACGGCCAGCATTGCCGGCAACGGACCCGCACACCCACAGAGCTGCACACGGCCCAGCCGAGCCCATGCTGAGGCTGCAGCCGAGCCCGGCCCGGAAGGACGCGCGGGCCCCGCGGCCGCTCCGCTCCGCCCCCGCCCCGCGCGGCCGCTCCGCCCCGGCCCCGCCCGAGCAGGCACGGCCCGCCGCTCCCGGCCTGCACCGCGCCGCGACGCGCCGGGCGCCGCTGACGTCCCAGCCCCGCCACTGGGCAGCGGCGCTTCGCGTCACGAGCTCGCCTCGCTGAGTCAGCTGCCCAACGTCGCAACGCCCGGCCATTGGCTGCAGCGGCGCGGGGCTCCGCCCCCGCAGTCCGCTGGCACTATAAAAGCGGCTCCGGCGCCCCCTCCGTGCCTTTAGCCCCGGGTGTCTGAGAGGAGAAAGATGTATCGACTCCGCTCACGGGCCTCCACGGGGATTTCTGCCTTTGCCGCCGGTTCGCCATCCGCCTTCTCTCGCCAATCACCCCCGCTGCCCCGGCTCGAGAAGTCAGCCTCGCAGAGGCGTTGGAGTAAAAAGCGCTCCTGCTCTTCTATCGGCTGATTGTCGCTGATTCCCGGGCGGGGGGGAGCAGGGAGACCGAGACCCGGAGAGGGGCCGCGGGAGCCGAGCTGAGCGCCGCTGCGACCATGCCCAAGCCTAAGAAGCGGGGGAGCAACCACCAGCGCGGAGCCGGTGAGTGCGGCCGGGCCGGCGGGTAGGGGCTGGAGTCTAAAATGCGTTTCCCGTCGGCGCGGGAGGGCCCCGTGCCCGGCGGTGCCCGCCTCCCCGCGGCCGGCGGGTGAGCAGCAGGACGGGCGGGCGGGCGCGGCCGCGGGGCTCCCGCTGGCTGTGCCGGGCCGGGCGGGTGACAGCGGCCGGCCCCGAAACCGCCACCTCACGCCGCTGCGCGCATGCGCCGGGGAGCGGGGCCGGCGGGCGCGGCCGCGCTGGCGCCGCCGGCGGCGACGGGAGCGCCCCGGGGGCAGCGGCGGCACCGCCGAAAGGCTGCTGCGGCTTTAAAGAAAAAATCCTTCTTGTTAGCCCAAAGTAGGGTGTTTTAAAATAAGCGGTCTTCGTACAAATGCAGAATGTGCGTGTCTGTGGTGCTGATGCTTGGGGCAGAACGGAGGTTTTGTGGGTTGGTGAGAAATTGCACTTCAGGCTAGCATAGCTGTGTGCAGCATCGGTTCCTAATCCAAATTTTTCTGGAAGTGAGCAATTTTTATTGGGTGTTTCTGCAACTGCTCTTATTTTAGTTTGTGAAGGGCTTACTGTTGTTCTTGCCGCTTCTGTTGAGCTCCTGTTTGACAGCAGCAGCAGCAAGAAGGTGGCCATGTGAGAGCTATGAGCCTCCAAGTTTGTGAGTGCATGGATTGGCTGGTGGGGGTTTTTTTGGGTTATGGTTAATTATGAGAATGGATACAGCTAAAAGTAGTGAAACTTCCAGAGTGTGACTAACTTCATTGGAAAGCACTTGGGCACTAATCCAACTGAAAGTTGATTCTGCCTAGATAAAAATAGGTTTTGGGGTCTTGGTAGTCAGGGAACCTCTTTGAAGCTGGTAAGCCCTGAGTGCAACCTTCTAAATTATTTAGAAAAAAAAAAAAACTGAACGAACAGAGTTCTGTAAATGATGTTTTGGGAACTGTTGAAGTATGGATATTAAAAGAACACTGCTAAAAATACTACTTTCATTAAAAAGTCTTCAAGCTGCCGTATCAAGGCCTTCTTTGTCCTGTGAGGGACAACTTCTATCCCCTATTGAAGCATTTGATGTTCCGGCTTGTGCTTGTAATTCAGCAGTAAAAATGTTGGACCTAACTGATGCTGCACATACTACACCTAATCTAATAAATCCTGCATTGAACTGGGTAATGTATGTTTGCCCAAAGGTTTAACTTACACTGTCTTGAAGTGCCTCAAAATTAGGAAATAAAGATTGTATGGTAGTTTTTTTAGGTAACTCATTCTAACAGTTAAATTAACATAGATGTATTTTTAAAGCATAGTCACAGAAAACTGCATTAATATGAAGTGGATTGTAGAAATATCCTAAATTTACAGTAGGAATTCAATCACTATCTAGAGTAGGAATTGGACCAGTACTAGGTGGTCCTTCCTCACTGCTTATGAATGATCTTCCAGAGCAGAGCCTACAAAGTCTTCAGAGTAGGTGGAAGTAAAGGAACCAGTAGAGGATGGAAATGTTCTTTCTGTGGTTGGGTCAGGGAGAGTGAATCTGCTCTGGGAGGGTTCAGTTCTATTTCTGGTGCTCAGATCTTCCTTTTCTGTATGAGAAATTACCAAGCTATTGTATTTATCTTTATTTAAGGTGGTCAGCCCAGAAACGTGCAGCCTTTTAGTGATGAAGATGCTTCAATTGAAACCATGAGCCACTGCAGTGGCTTCAGTGATCCTGCTAGCTTCACTGAGGATGGTAAATTCTTTTATTTATGTCTATTCATCTTTTAAAAACATAAACCCTGAGCTGATTTAGTAATTTCATGTAGTAGGCTTTAAGTAGCAATAATGAAATAATGACATTATATTAACACTGTGATAGTTAGTCCAGTGGCTGTTGTTTTTGTTTGGTAAGAATATATTCCAGGTTTCATGAGCCTTGTGAAACTGTCAGGCTCTATTGTATTAGAATAGAATATAGATATAGAGACAATAAGATATAGAGAGCTGCTATAGAGAATAAGAATTTTAAGGTGAATTGTAAGAGGTGGATTTTCATAACAGGTAGTTGAAGCAGTGAGAACTGCAGAAGAGTTTAAAATGGGAAGAGTCACATATGCCTGTATTGAGCTAGATTTGTTCTTTGTCTCCTTTACCATCTCTGCAACCTGGACTACTCTAATGTCATTTTCTTCAGAGAAGGGGATCTGAAGGCCTAATACAGGGGATAAGCAGGGAGCCATCTTAGGATACAGGCCACTCTTAACTGAGCCCCTGTTGCAGAGGTGTCTGAATTTATGCTATATAGGACAGGCTGCTCTGACTCACTGCATCAGCTGTGGGCACCTCACTGTACTCCAGGGTTGATGTAGTGGACTGGATGAAAATGTGTTGTTGACAGGATTGGCTGGTTGTCATCAGATGGAGAAAATTTATGTAAGACCTGATTCACTCCCTCATTCATTCTTGGCATGTGTAAGAAGCAGATCTAGAAACAGCACAAATGTATCAATAGGCCAGTTTTTATAAAAATATTTTAGGGCACAGTCTTATGTAGTAGGTTTAACACCATTACACTGCTGTGATACGGGACAGTTCTGTAGCTGTTGTCTATATTTTAAGCTGCTTTCTTATTAATGTTAAAAGCATCGTCTTGGAATGACTGCTAATGAAATGTGTATTAAAAGGACTAAATTATTACTTCTGGATTAGGGCCTGAAGTTGATGAAGAAGCCACTCAAGAAGACTTGGAATACAAGTTGAAGGGATTTATTGATCTTACATTGGACAAGAGGTATAGTCTGCTTTGAAGAAACAAATTCATGCATTGTTTTCTTGCTTGATTTAATATGGAAAATACCCATCAAATCTTTCTATGCTTACTGAGATTTTTACTCTGGGGGGAGCTTCTGGATCTAAAAAAACCTTTTTCCTTCTACTGTTTTTTTTACTATGGGTTAGACTTTCCTTTTCTAATGTATTGAAATAGAGTGACTTTCTTTCTGGCCAGCAATGCTGCTGTGAACTCTTATCTCCAAACAAAATTTTGCAGTCCTTGAGTAAGGAGGCAATTCAGAGCATTTAATTTCTTCATGGTACTGCTGTGGATTACTCTTACTACTGGATGTAGGGAAATAAAAATCACCATAAAGCAAAAGCAGAGGTTTAGCTGCTATGTGCTAGTTACAGGAGGTCTTCCTTCTCTCTTCTAACAGTGCAAAGACAAGACAAGCAGCCCTTGAAAGTCTGAAAAGTGCATTTTCTTCTAAAATACTATATGAATTTATCATGGAAAGGAGAATGACTCTAACTGATAGCATTGAGCGCTGCATAAAGAAAGGTAATTAACATGCATGGTATTAGAAAGCAATCCCTATGAGATAGCACATTGTTTAAAAGAAATTAAGATTGTGAGTGTTCTCAATAATTTAGGTATTGCGGGGAGGCTGGGCTCCAGGGCGGTTTGGATGGATGGAGATGAGAGATCTCTGAAGGCTGCTCTTAGAATATATGGTTTATTAGAGAGGGTGAAAGGCCCTGCTTGGAGTTGCCAGAAGCAACATGTGGCAGGCCCTGGGGAGTGGGGGAAGGGAGAGGCAGGGGGTAGAGGGAGATAAGAGGATGTTCCAGGGGAGGGTGGAAGTTCCAAGAGAGCATCTGGCTCCTCAGGGACCCCTTATCAGGGGGCTTCAAGGTGGGCTGGAACAAGACTTAGGCCAATGGGGTCACAGACACCTGATGCTTCAGGGGAGGGTTACAGGTGTGGGATGAACCATACATTTTGGGGGGTGAGATAGAACAGTCCATTGGACCTTTGGACCTATCTGTAGGTAAGGGCATTGTTCAACCAGAAGGGGGGATTGTCTTCATCCTGGCTGTACTATTTTCTAGTTGTTCAGTAACTAAGGTTTGGTATCTCAAAACTTGTTACCATTTCAATCTCTGTATCATGATACCAACAAGGTATCATTACTTTTTAAATGTAGGTGTCCTAGGACATTTTAACTGTCCTAGAAAATTAACTGAAATTATCTTCTATCTGTTGGTTTCTGAATTTCTGCCTACATGCTTTCAGACTGTTATCTTTAAAAGATTAAAGGAGGAAAGCAGGGCAAAAGGTGATAGCTCATCACTGTGTTAATCTCTAGGTAAGAGTGATGAACAGTGTGCAGCTGCTGGGCTGGCGTGTCTTCTGTGTGTGCAGATGGGGTCAGGAATTGAAAGCGAGGAGATTTTTAAGACCCTTGGTCCAGTTCTGAAGAAGATTGTCTGTGATGGAACAGCCAGTATCCAAGCCAGACAGGCTGTAAGTATGAAATGTTTATTTGCCAGTCAGGGACAGAGGGCTGCTTCTGACCAGCTCGCTATTG